TTTTTTTTTTTTTTTTTTAATCCTTGAAAATTTTAAGGATTTGATGCAGGATTTCATATATGCTTTTAATTTTTGAAAGCCAAGTAAATTTATAAAATTCAAATAAATCTAAGTGATAATAAATTTAATCCTGGTGTATTTACAATTTTTTAAATTCTTCAAAAGTTCAAATTAAATAATAAAAATATTAAATACACTAGGATTTTTAAAATGGCAAAATTGTAAATACACCAGGATTATATATGATTTTAATTAGAAAAAAATAAAAATAAAATACATGCAGCATGATTTTCCTACACGCAAAATACATGACTTCACAGTTCTCACAGGCTTGTTCCCCATGCAGTGCGAATTACCAGGTCCCTGTGTCAAAGTATAAAAATAATTGAAAATAAATAAAAAAAAAATGTTTCAGAAAATACCCACCAAAGTAATTAATAAATAATAAAATAGAATAAAAAAGCAGCAAAACAAGGTTTACACAACTACTCCATTTTCACCTGAATACCCAATGGAGTCTGAGTTTCAACCAAAGTTAAGGGACCCAAAAATGGAGCCTACTGTCAAAAACACCAATGCAGATAACAACACAGAGGCTCAACAAACCATGGATGAACACTTGGAGAAAATAGTCCAAGATTTCAACGAATTCCGCGAGAAGATGTCTGGGAAAAGTTCGAGCGGGCCCATGAAACTCGAAGACCTCGTCGACTTGTACATCGACAACGGCTGTGAGAATTCACACGATGAGTCACAGGCCAATCACGGTCATCAGTTCGCCACACCACTACAAGATCCCAGCTACTACGAAGCCACAGACCCTCAACAACAACACGTGGGGCCCACACATCAACAGAGCACAAACGGATACGGAATTGACTGCTTGGAAAGTCAGGAGAACTTTCAAAGTTACGACGAAGAAAACGTGAATTTCAATTTCGATTTCGGACCGGGCAGTGATGGGGTGACTTACATTAGATATGGTGATCTGAACTACGAAGGGGCAGCCGGCGAGTTTATCGGCAGCATTTTTGAAGGCGAGGTGAATTTGTGGTGGCGGTGGGTGGGAGGGACTGCTCGGAGGGAACGGACCAAGAGGAAGTACACAAGGGCTCAGAAGGACAAGGAGACTGCTACCCGCCTGAGGAGAGAATAAAAATAAAGTGATCACAAAAATGGAGCTGCTAATACGAATGGAGGCAAATTTGAAGGGTAACTAGTTTTTCTTGGGATAGTTATTAATCCAGAATCTTTAAAATATCGTTCCAGATGGCCATAATAAGTGCACGACTTCCCTGCAAACAAGTGAGAAAACAAAAAACCGGACAAATCCAAGGCATGACAGGGTATGGGACGATATTGGCCACATCATAACCCTACTATCATTCATAATTCATAAACCAAAATTATAAATACTCCGTTATTCTGTTCTTCCCAAAAACTTGGAAGTTCCTATCGTTCTATACTTCTCTAGCTACTTAATTTTAAGCAGAATATCCAACTTTTAAGGGGTTTGCCTACAATTCATGAACAATTTCTTCTTTCACACGCTTCGAGGAGTTTGATATAGAATATCTTGTACGTGCATAGAATATACACATTACACTGCCTGTAGCAAACACATATTGTGGAGTATCCAATGCTCTAGTACGGAATAGCCATCATCTTATTTGATATGATACATGAAAACTGTAGGTAAGCAAGACGATAAATCGGTCTAGTCCAACAGCTTTCAAATGTGGGCAATCATTCATATGCACTCCTATGTAAATTAAGAAACAAAAGAAAGAATTTGAGTATATAAAAGAGTAGCCTTTGGGAAAACGAGGCATCAACGAGCATAAAACAGGCATCCCACGTTCCATGATTCGTTTTCAAACCCTCAAACTTAAAGATTCAAGTACGTATATGGTTTATAGCTGAAGCAAACCTCTCACAACCTTCACAGCACACGACAGGTAAAAAGAAATGTTATGAAGTACAAACAAAAAGAATTTCCATATGCAGGGACGAGATATACCTGCTGATCATCCCGGTTTTGATATGTGCTTGGTACTTTCCACCCATTTAAGGAATGGTTGATGCGCGTGTCGTAAGCTAAACAGCTTCTTCATCCAAGAGGCATTCTTCCTCAACACATAGGTTCTGGTTGAAGCAGCAAAACGCAGGGACTGGCCAGCCTCGAGCTCAATGGAAGAATCTTTGGTCAGCCACTCATTTGCAGCAGAAGTACCGTGTGCGGAGCCTAAGTCGATCACATATATGCTGTATGCAAAAAGAAATAAAGTTATTACTAAATCCACCCTCGGTATTCGATTGGAGATTTGCATTATCAGCCATTAGGAGACATGTTTCTTCACAAATCACACCTAACTGTCACAAACTACCAAATTCATCAAGGGCATTTGAGCAAGTAACTCTGTGCAAACAGATCAACATTGTGTCACATTCAAAAGAGGCAGCACAAAATTTTTCGAGTCCTTACATAAAAATCGCCAATTAAGCTCAGCACACATCTTAGATCTGAAGCCAACTACACTCTTAAGCTAACACGGAGGGAGCGACAATAGTGCATCACAGTCAAGTTGAGTTTTGCAGAGCAGAGCAGACCATACGAACTGAAAACTTTCTTCACATCCAAATGGAAACACATCTGAACGATACTCAAAGAGGAAGAATGAGGAGAATTTAAAATACTAAAAATAATTCATACCCCCCATTTTTGTGTTCGTTTAACTTAAACTGCCGCTGAATGGTCTAAAGAGAGTTGGCCGCCGGTAATGGCGGTAGGCTTCGAGGTGACCGACAATGGTTCTGAAGACTACTGGGTCTAAAGAGATTTGCACGTAGAACGGAAAATGTGAAAGCATAGCACCCACCTCACACAGTGAAATATTTTCCCTTGCAAATAAACTTTTGCCCTGAGGGAATTAATAGTACAGTCCCGCTCTGTTTTATATGAAAAACGTATTCACACGTATTCTGTGAATACGTTTTTGAATTGAAAAACGTATTTTCAGAATACGTTTTTCATATAAAACAAACTAGTGGGCACTGCCCACCGTGGGCAAGAAAATATAATTTATTAATAGTAAGCGTTAGAAGAAGAGGGAGACTGTAAATCAACGACGAAAAAGCTGAGAGAGACGGAGGAGGGGGAGCACGATCGAAGACGTGGCCAAGGTAGGCCCGAACCGCCGGGTCGACCCGGAACCGGCCAGTATGTACGGATCCTTGAACTGGACCCGTGGTAATATTAGGTCAATTCCGGGTCTTGATTTTTTTTTAAACACCGGTTCCGAGCAAGCACATTGTTTTTGAACCGGCCCTTACATGTTGTTGAGGCGGTTGCGGGTCCAATATTTGAGGCCCAGCGAACCGCCGAGTCGTGAGCCAAACCGCCAGTTGGCCATATCTACAATCGATCGGGGGAGTGTGGGCCGAGCTTTTGAATTGTGTTAGAAACGGTTGATACCAAAGCCCATATATTTATATATGGGCCCATATAAATGTTGACACGATACACGATAGTAAACTAAAATAATGTAGTATAGAATTAATGACAAATAATGTAATTTATATATCGTCCTGCTGATTTTCTCGTTGGCATCGGGTCTACCATCCTCGGAGGCGCATACATTATCTGACAATATTTTTCTCTGTCTCCGTACCTTTAGCGGATGAACTAGATTGGATACATTTTATTCAGATTTGTGTAGTCGGTCCTACCTTTTGGTGCATCCGCTCTCCCATGACGCTGACTTTTTGCCTTGACTCTTATCGGACTAGGAGACGTTATCTTTGTGTTACTGGCATCTATTGCCGGCTTTTTTTTTCGTTTTTAGTTTTGCTTTTCGTTTGACTTGATGTATTTCAGACATTAGACTTGTAGATTGCAACTTTTCAACTCATTTAGGACTTTTTTATATATAAAGGTTGAGGGTCCGACCTAACCCCCCACCTCCTGGGTGTTTCCATACAAAAAAAAAAAGAATTAATGACAAAACTAAACCATAAACCAACTTGATATGGGATACCATACGAGCATGACTAGGTCCCATATGACCCAAGGACAGTTCAACCGGGTCGAGTGAATCGGCAGGTCAATCAACCAGCAAGAATGTTGGGAGGACGTGTAAACATCAAGTCAACAGTTACCTTATAGGCAAAAGACACCCAATTGTTTCTTCCCTCAGTTTTCGATTTGTTTTAGCATAAACTAAGAGTTCCCCTCAGATGACACTTCAATCTCCACCTCAATACAAAACTGATGACTAATAAAATCAATTTACAGCAACTCAATCATTTTCTTTTATCTTGAAAATGGATTTTTTTGGCAACATGAGCTATATCAAATGGCAACTAATTGAAAGAAAAAAAAAAAAAAAAAAAAAAAAAAAAAAAAAAAAATCCTATAGGAACACAACATATTACATTTATCAATGCTAACCAGAAATGGTCACTTCTTAATTGAAGTCTAAAGGAATGACATTCCCCCTCAAAGAAGATATTGGAAAATCACAAAACAATACAGACAAAACACAAACAGAATAAACTAGGGGATTTCATAAGCCCTCCTAGAAAAAAAAACACACACATCTGTTACAGTATCAAGCAGTCCCGGATTACTTCACACTCGCGAATGTGAAACACACTTTTTTGTTTATTTCTGCCTCTTGTAAATCTTGGCTAGGAAGGACTTCAGCACGGCCTGCACGGGTTTTCTAGGAATAGCCTCGATGGAGCTCGTGAGTCTGTCGTAGCTCTTAGCTTCGTACTCGAGAAATATGCGCTGTAGATTAAGTTCATGGTAGAGGGCTTTGATTTTCGAAACATCCGCTGGATTTTCCTTTCCGTAGTGCTCCTGGTTTAAAGGAAAACATGTCCAAAATATTCACACACAGACACACATCAACTAATCGCAATAACGAAAAATTGAGGAAAGCACAAAAGGTGCAGAGGCTTCTTAGTTCTTACGTAAAGAATCTTCTTTTGTTCTTCATTACAGAGCTCCAGGGCTTTCACAACCAGCCAAGAGCACTTGAAGTCCTCAATATCTGTTCCAATCTGATGATTCACAAAACAAATTCAGAAAACATGCCAGTCAAATAAAGAATAGTTTTATACATTTGTAAGCCCGAGGGAGAGCTCAACAACTCACCTTCCCGATCTTTTCAGGTTCACCAAAGCAGTCCAAGTAGTCATCCTGAACAGATAAATCAAGTACCGGGAAAGGGAATTAACACACACACAAAAAAAAAAACTCTTATTCATAAGCATCTCAATACCCAAGCTAAGACTCTCTCTCTCTCTCTCTCTCTCTCTCTCTCTCTCTCTCTGTAAGTGTGTGTGTGTGTGTGTGTTTGTGTGTGCATTTATACAATTTAAACCAAAGCAAATCACAGCTAATGACGGAAACTGGATATGTTTACTACAGTGTGGAAGACGAATACTGGTCATCTTAATACAAAGAGGGGATGCACTCAAAAGTTAGAATTAAGTTCAAGCATCGTTACTGGTGATTTTGAAACAATGTTAAGAGTTCAGTTCAAACATCGTTTCGAAGTCGAAGGATGCAACAGACAACCTCACCTGTACTTGAAAGTAGACACCCATATCAATCAGCACATCTTTCGCATTTACATGATTGTCCAGGTTCTCACCCGCCATCAGCAGAGCACATGCGACCTACAAAAGTATCGAAACAAAGCTAGAAACTACAATTTATCATTTACAATGTAAATTAAGAAAAATTACAATAATTCACCACTCACCGGAAGGTAAAATGAGTAGTAAGCAGTTTTATACTGAACGATGCGGCGATGACTGCAGAAAATAAAACCAGAGTCCTAAACATTAAGAATGTAAAAAAAAAAAAAAAAAAAAAAAATAAAAAAACAACTGTCTAACCATTATAAAAGGTAATTATGTATACAATTTAGTTCCTGATTATAGCACATCAGGCATGAGTTTCACAATTAGGGTCAGGTTTTTGCAAGGCCAGAACTGAGAATCTAAAATAATGAAGTGGCCATCATTATAACATGTAGATAAATTATTTCCTGATTCTACAATGTGAATAAGAAAAAATAAAATACCAAATGTCGATTAGATTTTATTTTTATATTTCATTTCATCTTGATCATGCTGTACTCACAGTGGCAACGAGTATTTTGACAAATCCTTTTCTCCTTCAATAGTGGTAATTAAATCTATCATCTGTCCTGCAGTAGTTTGAAACTCCACCTGAAGAAAATGACAAATAGAACTAAGGAATTGTAAAATATAAATTATTATACACCACCATAACAGAATAGTTGTACTACCTCATTGAACAATTCTAGCAGATCCACATAGTAAGGCTTTTCTCTGAAGTGCTTCTTGAGAATTCTAGGGATGTGATTTCGAAGCATAATTCCATCATTTACAGCAATCAAGCCAATCTGGAACAAAAGTTCATTCCAAATGAATGTCCTAGTGATGAGAATAATCAGACACTATAATAAAAGTTCATAATTAGCACAGACCTTTGGGAGTCTGAACCAGCATGGCTGACCACGTCTTGTGTGAGAATTATCCATAATGTCATCAAGGACTAGAAAATATGCCTGAAGCTGTACTTCCGATGTATAAATCAAATACTAAAAGAGCAAAATGTTCAAGGAAACAATTGCCCAGTTTTAGACTAAATACATGCGCTTATAACTAGTAACATACCCATTCAATACACCAGCCAAGAGCGCTAGCTAGAAATTCTTCGTCTTCTGTTAAGCCTTTTCCTTCTATAAGTAACTTGTAGCTATCAATAACTGACAGGCCTCGGTTTAACTTCCCTGAACATAACATTTCAAAATTTACCACAAAATGCTTGTTGGTCAATAAATCGAATAAATATTGATCATATGAGGGTGGTGTCTCCAGATCCAGGGATTGCATTTAAGAATTACTATAAATGAAAGACATCTGACCTCCAGGTACATTGTAGTCCAGCATCTGTGACACGTAAAAGAAAGTCAATCAGGAAACACAATGAAGGACCTATGAATATGATGTGTTTCATAGTCAACACACAAAACTAAATTGCTGGTGTGAACTTATAATTTCCTTAAAACATCTTTTAAGATGTGAATTAAGTGCATGCTGAAAATTGATAGGCTCTGTGCTTCGAGCTCAAAGAATACGATGCTAAGAGTCGTGTAAGTTACAAAAGTTAAGAAGAAACTAAGTAATTTGAAAACAGAAATAACAACATTATCTATTCTCAACCATATTAGTTATTTATCGACACTATATAAGATACGTAGTTTCACTTCATCTGATCATTCTAAGAAATTATTTTCAAATTAGTCAAATAAATCATAACCTTGAATTATGATAAAAGCTCATAAGATCTTTGCATAAGATTAGCTAAATCAACTCTTAAATCTATCGAGATCCTGTTCTTTCATTATACAAAATATTACATTTACATCACAGTCATATGGTGGTTGAACGCCTAAGTTTAGTATGGCTTCTCAACAGTTAATTTCACATTTTAGGGAATAAAACTTAAAAGAAGAAATGTTGCATTTCTATTTCTAGCAACAGCTACTGTAGAGAATCACATGGCAAGGTGAAAAAAGACCAATTTACATGATTGACAATTGAATCCATGAAACAAACCACTGAAAGTCAAGCATTACGGCGACACCAAGGTCTACAATGTCCTAACTTTTGCCAATGAACAGTCATCAATAATTGCAAAGGCCCTAGAAAAACTAATTGAAAACACATCCAAAAGTCATGAATTGAACTGTAACATTTTTCGGATTTTTCCCTGAAGATGTTAGAATGTAAAGATTTCCACTTGTAAATATAAGGTTGCCATAAATTTTGATGCTTTTAAAATATCTCAAGTTTGGAGTTCATAATTTCTTCAGTATTTACTTCCTTAAAAGAACGAAAGAAAGTTTAGGAGGGAAGTTATGCCTATATGTGAACATGAAGCATTTAACATCAAACCAAAAACATAACACCATAACAAACATCTGTTTTTAAATTGAGGCATGCACTTTAGTAAGGCATACCAAATTCCCGTGATACAAAAGCATGCAGAGAAATGATAAACAGAAGCTCATAAATATCCACATAAATGAAAAGCATAACAAGAAAATCGCGAGGCGGAGACCTGCAATAGTTTGATTAGATTAATATTTCAAGAAGAGCAACTCAGGGTATCTTATCTATTGGACTGGTGATGCAATTCGGAAGAAAGTCATTCTACTTAAGGCAACAAATTATGATTTCATTATCCGGCAGAATCAAGTGTTCAATCATGGAAAGAATCAATCTTTACAAGTCAGCACTCCTAAAGGTAATTGGTTAAAGCAACTTTACAAACACGGGGCATGTTTAATATACGTCAACGTTCCAATTCCAACGAAAAAAGCGCATTATGCTTACTATTCGCAACAGCTAATCAAAATTCATGCCAAAAGTATTTTCTGTACATTATGATTCCAATTCACCATTGGCTGTACAAGTATACATTTTTTTCCATTAAAGTGGAGGACCAACAACTAAAGTCATCAACTGTTCGACTCGACTCGCTGGCGCAAGAGACGCGCATATGCTAACATCAAACCCAAAGCTTTCCAATAAAGCAGGAGAAATCGAAGACTGCTGAATTTCTAAACATGTGGATCGTTCAATTAAGAAGCATTTATCATTGTAATTCAGCATCCCACATCCACACACATCAGCAACATCTCAAATTCAGCAAAAATCTCAGTAGATTAAAAGAACTTGCAGATTTAACCGTTAACTAAGCAAACAAAATCAATCCCAGTCACCAACACAAGCAATTATGCAAACCATACGTCGCATTGCAATATGAAACACAAAAAATGAACAAAAAATAAAAAATAAAAAAAGGGTAAAATGAATTAAAGAAAAAAAAATAATCTAACCCGCTCGACCCATTGACGCGAACCTTGGGTCCATTCGAAAGCAGGATCATTCAACAGCTCGGATTTGAGCGCAGAGTAGACGCCCAGAAACGTCGCCCTCAGATCAGACGTCGCGCCGTTCAGATCCGCCATGAATTTCCACACGAGAATTGAGGAAATATATCGACTAAATTGAAAAAAAAAAATCAGAGAGAAAGGGAGAAAATCATGCGAGAGGAAAATGCTCTGTTTTGCAAACTGCACTTTTTGGTGTGTGTGTGTGTGTGTGTGTGTGCGCGCGCGTGTGTGGGTCTCTCGCTGCCTTTTGTAGTACTATTTTGACAAATGTATTTCACATGGACTTTCCATTTTATTTTATTTTTCTTTGATTGATAAATTAAAGCGGGGGCCACATAGAGAATAACTAGAGAGAATTAGAGATGGTTTAAAGATTTTATTTTATTTTAATTTATTTTTTTCAACAATAGAACAGTCGGTCAACTAGCTATAATTAGGAGGGAGAGTTACAGTATAGTCGTTTTCCTATGAAGTCACAGTTGGCTTTATAGTGAAGCCAACCTTTTATATACAACAAATAAACTTATCATATTAATAAAAATATATTAGTGTTATTTAAGTAATCCGAGAATATGGTAAGTTTATTTGTTGTATATAGAAGGTTGGTTCCACTATGAAGTCAATTGTTCGCTTCATAGCAAAAGCGATAGTCTAGAACCTACATACACAACAACAAAACACAGCACATGAAAACAAGCAAACTTCCACCATAGGAAAAAGAAACTCCCATAAGAGAGAAGCTCCTAATCAAGGAGAAATGAAAAACACAAAACTGCAACAAACAACCACAACACAACACACAACAAAAATTAACATACAACAAAAGCTAATACTAAAAATACGCCCTCCCCACCGTACACCAAACACAACGCCAACACGACCTAACAAACATCGAGACGCGACCTTCCTCGAAGAAGCCCCAAGAACGATAGGCCACACCGGTCCCAGATCTGAAGCCTCCTCCCGGACTCCCAACTCCGCCCAGGTCAGTCCACCACCATAGCCCCCCACGCGAACTTCATGGCCGATGTGTTGGGTTCGATATACCGTACGGAACAGAGTTTACAGCGGAATTTAAAAATTTTATAAGTATTTATCTTATAAATACTTATTCCGTACATAAGTATAACGATATTAC